TTTTGTGTGTGTTTCCAGAAGGTTGTTTTAGGGAATCATTAAAATAGTGAGTTTTTTACTAATATTGAAAATATGTCTGGATCCCCCTTATTAAAAAAAGGGTAAAATTCACTTTGCACCCCTGTATTATGAGAAAGGTATCGTTTACCCCCCTGCTGTATGAAAAAAATCAAATACCCCCCTGCCGTTAACTTTTTTCTTGAATCCGTTAGTCAAACCCTTTGACTGGCCGTTATAAAGACCCGTTGACTTTTTTTTTTTTTTTTTTATAATTTTGTTTTTTCTTAAAAAAAATATTTTAATTAATATTACTGTCTTGGCTGCTAAATTACTGTCTCCGACAGTTATTTAACTGTCGGAGACAGTAATTTAACTGTTAATTGACTCTTTTGTTTTTTTATTTTTTTCTTCAAAAATATTTTAATTAATATTACTGTATTCGTTGCGAAATTATTGTCTCCAGCAGTTATTTAAATGTCGGAGACAGTAATTTAACTATTAATTGACTTTTTTATTCTTAAAAAAATATTTTTAATTAATATTACTATATTCGTTGCTAAATTACTATCTCCGGCAGTTATTTAACTGTCGGAGACAGTAATTTAACTGTTCATTGACTTTGTTTTTTCCTTAAAAAAATTATTTTAATTAATATTACTGCCTTGGATGTTAAATTACTGTCTCCAACAGTAATTTAACTGTCTTAGACAATAATATTAATAATATTACTGTTCGGAAAAATAATATTCATAATATTACTGTCCCAAACAGTAATATTACTGTCTGAGACAGTAATTTAGTAGCCAAGACAGTAATATTAATTAAAATATTTTTTTTTCTAAGAAAAACAATTCAAAAAAAAAAAAGTCAACGCCGGAATCTGGCCGGAATCTGGAAAAAAAAAACATTTCAGAAAAAAATTTATTTTCTCAAAAAAAAAAAATTGAGGTTAATGTAATATATTTGTTTAAATCCGGGGTCAATGTGTAATATTAAGGAAGTTAGAGCATAATGGGTGGAATTGATAAGAATTATATTATGGAGGGTATTTTAGACTAAAGACATGGAGATGGATTTAATTGATAAACTGTTTTTTTTTGTGGACCAAAATACATTTAAGTCTAATGTGATGGGCCTTTTTGCTATTCGCCCATATTTATTAAACTTTCGAACATGATATGCATGTTATTAGTTGATTGAATTATCGAACAAATGATTTTACATGCTCCCTTTTATGTGATATATATAATTAATTTCTAGAAAAATTCGCATGTCAGTAAAAAAGTTTAAATTATGTTGCGTAAACGCATTCCCAACATATAGAACATAGAATTACAAAAATAAGTTAGTTATTAAATATTATAAACGCTCCAATTTTCAACTTAAAATAATACTCGTATTGTTTTAAACATACAAACACAAAGACAAAGAAAAATGTACCATTTATGGAATTTATTAAATGAATTTTGAGAATTAACCGAGACTTAATGGTGTGCCAGATTCGGGCTGGGTAGCTTGCGCCTGGGTAACGGAGAGTTA